TATTTGAAATTAAATAGACTAAATATAAAAATAGCTCAAAAAAAAAAAAAAAAAAAAAAAAAGAATGTAGGGCCCCCGGCCCCGAACACAATACAGTAAAATGGTTGCACGAAATCAAAAAACTATTGCGGGCGGGGGCCCAACACTCACAAAAGTTATAACGCAATTGGATGAATGGTGTGGAGACGCATACGAAAATTAAATTTATATAGATTATTTAAGTTAAACGTGAATTTACGGCCCCCGACTAGAAACAGAATATTTTTTAATGGTTGTACTAACTTGGAAATATTTGCGGCTGTGCGGAAAAAAACTCACAAACGTTTTGTTCCAATCGGATGAATGGTATAGGAGCACATACGGAGGAACGTACAGACAATATACATACATTCGTTTTTAATATGTATGGATAAAGTTTACCGAATAAAGGCTACATTTTGCGCAAATATTTAAGAAAGCGTTCCCTCCATCCATCCCTCCGTCCATCAGTCAGTCAGTCAGTCAGTCTGTCCGTCAGTCAGATAGTCAGACAATCAGTCAGGCAGACAGACAGTCAGTCCGTCCACCCGTCCGTCCGTCCGTCCGTCCGTCCGTCTATCTATCTATCTATCTATCTATCTATCTATCTATCTATCTATCTATCTATCTATCTATCTATCTATCTTAGATAGATAGATAGATAGATAGATAGATAGATAGATAGATAGATAGAATCTATCTATCTATCTATCTATCTATCTATCTATCTATCTATCTATCTATCTATCTATCTATCCATCTATCCATTTATCCATCTATCTATCTATCTATCTATCTACCTGTCTGTCAGTCTGTTTTTCGGTCGGTCTGTCTATCGGTCGGTCGGTTGGTCTGTCTATCTATCATCTATCTGATCTATCTATCTAAGAAAATCTTAACCCATCTCTATTTCGAAAATTAAATTTTCCCTTATGTAAAATGATTGGGTTTTGATATTCATGGCTATAATTATGTAAATATACTTAAATTTTGTTAACGACATTGATTTTCTTAATTGGTAAACATATTATGTTCATTTGTAAAATGCGAATATAGCATCTAAATTTAACAACTGTATCATTGAATTTAAAGATTTTGTCATCCACTTAAAAAATGTACACACCCTATTTCCTACCCTCGATACATATGTAGGCCTACCTAAGAAAGTTAATTATTTATCAAATTAACTCTGAGGCGTATCTTGTGTTGCCTTTGGGTAAAAATGAAAGCATCGTATTACTCCACCCTCGTCACAGAGTTTACAATTATTTAAATCAAATCATCCAATGCATTGTAACCCCCCTTACTCAGGCAAAAACAACTTTTTTTGCATTTCGTACGCTTTTTTTTTATTTGGATGAGTGATAAGTTTATAAGTGAATGATATTTAGCTATGCAGTTTCGCTGTACTGATTGAATTAAATGGTATTGGCTTATTAAAAGTATATTTAAAGGTAAAGTTTTACTTTATAAATTTCATAAAATTATATTTTTTGGAATGAATAAAAAGTAAAAGCGTATTGAATGTTAAAAATACAAAGCTAAATGTATATTTAATTTTAGCAAATTTGAGCTTAAAAAGCAATCAATTTTGTTCATTAATTTTACTTTTAAGAAGGGGAAAATACATTATCAACTTTGTCACGTGCGGTTATGAAATCAGATAACTTTTAGCTTTGGCTATGACGTCATTTGAGTGATTATTTAGAAAAAATTAATTTTAATTTTATTGCGCAATATTAACAACGTACTAAAATATGCACTAAAACATCTGATGTTTGGGTTTTCCCGATAAGTGTGATTACGGTGTAATTCTTTGATCATATTTTTTAATTTAAAAAAAAAAAAATTTGTATAACTTTCTTTCAAAATTTGACTACTGTAACACTCTTCTCGCAGGCATTCCTCA